GCCCGGAACTCTGCCGGCCGAGTCCGCCCCGAGCCGAAGGCCTCCCGCAGCCGCCGCAGCGTGTCCTCGAGGGGGTCCATCCTGTGGWCGGGGCAGCGAGAAGTGGGTGCTCCACCTCCAGGGCGTCCTGCGGCTGCCCCTCACAGGTGACAGGCCCCTGCACAGGGGCCAGGGCGCAGGCGGGAGCTGGAACCCTGGTGGCCCAAGCGTTCCCAGGGTGTCGTCTGGTCTGGTTTGGTGGCCCCAGGTGTCTGGTCTGGTTTGGTGGCCCCGGGTGTCTCAGTGGGATGAGTGTGTCTGTGTCTGTGTGTGGACGTGAGCTGTCCCCAGCCTTCAGCAGCACGTCCCAGGGCCATGCCCTGGATCCCTGCCTCAGATCCCTGTGGCCGCAGGAAGGAGCAGAGGACAGGCGTCCCCACCGGTTGCCCTGGAGGGACACCCACCCTCCCGGGGCCTCGGCAGGTCAGCAGCCTAGTCAGCGCAGCTGGGGGACGTCCTGGGGGACAAGGTCTGCTGGAGGCTGCTCCGAGGAGCGAGAGGAAGCCGAGCAGCAGGGCCAGCTGGCGGGGAAGGCAGGGAGTCGGGYCAGAAGCGGGGACCCTCCCCCGCAGCCGCAGACCTGCTGTCCCTCCGAGGGCSGCAGGGGTCACTCCTGGCCCTGGGAGCCTCCTCTCAGCTCTGCCCTGCCCATGAGGGCCTGAGGACGGCGGCATACAGTAGGTGCTCAGTGAAGACTCGTCCACTGAGCSGGCTCAGCTCCCGTCTCGGGCCGGGGGACCCCCCTTCCTTCACGCCTTCCCTCCGCCAGGCCTGGGGAGCTCTCCTGGAGCCCTGTCCCCAGCAGGGCCGGGCCAGTCCCTGCCCACAGCCCCGACAGGAGCTGGCTGGGCGGGCTGGGCTTGCTCAGAGCCACGGGCGGCCCGGCTGACCTGGAGGGTTCCCAGGCCTGGGCTCCAGGCCCCTGACCCTCACCAGCCCTGGAGGTCCCCCTGCCTGGGTCCAAGGCTCCGGTGACCTCAGCTTCCTACCCGGCTCCCTGTACCTCCCTGTACTGGCCCCATCCGTGACACTGTGGCTCCTCCCACAGCCCGTCAGAGCCGCAGCTGGCGAGGCGGGGTGGCCCCTCRGAGGTGGGTGTGCCAAGGACTGGGGCCAGCATCCTGCCAAGGCCCTGTGGGGGTGGACTTTGAAAAACAAGATGTCCCTGGGCCTGGCGACACCTTGATGGGACCTGTSGGGAGGGCTGGCACCTCTGGGCGGTGGGCACACCGGGGAGAGGGGCTGGAGGGGACGCAGAGCTGCCTTGGAGCTCAGGGCTCCGCAGCAGCGTCTCATTTAAGCCTCGCAGCTKGACCCCATCGTGAGGACGCGGCACCTTCGGCTCCAAGAGGCCACCTGATCCGCCTCCCACAGCTGACCTGAGGCACACGCCCGCCACCACCCCGTGTGCTGTGGTCTCAATGCCCTCCTGTAGCTCCCAGGTTTGCTACAGTGACAACATAGTCCTTCTAGAACCCTCCACCAACAGGGAATGTGGCCCGTGAAATCTGAAGCCAAAGGCTCAGCTCTGGCTCAGCACCCAAGAAGCCCCCCGCCGGCCTGCCCACACAGCACAGCGCTGGCCACTCCTGCCGGCCCCACCTTCTCCTGGCTAGGAGCCCCTCCAGAAGGACAGGAGTCTGTCCCCAGCCCTGGGGTCCCGGGGCTTTCCCGGAGCTGACCGAGGCCCAGAAGTCCCAGCAGTGAGGGCTGGACAGGGCCTGAGCACCAGTCTGGGCTGTCGACCTGGACCCGGCCGCGCCCTCTCCCCAGCAGCAGCCCCCACCCACTCTGCCCTGGGCCCTCGTACCCCCGTGTGGGCTCTGAGCGGGGGTCCTTTGTCGACATCGMGTCTCCAGTGCCCCGACTCTGCTCCCGGTCTCCTCGCCGGCCCTCCTCGGCCCCTGCCCTGCCTCTGCCTCTGGCTCAGCTGCTCCCACACCTCCTCGCTCCCACTGCCGGCCTCCCTGGCACGGCCCGCTGGGGAACAGGTTGGGCAGGCTGTGAGGCTGCTGTGTCTGCAGGGAGGGCTGGCAGGGCCCCACCCGATAGGGAGAAGCCCCCAGAGGCTAGATGAGCTGCCAGCCACCTCCACCCCCACGCAGCAGGTCCAGGTCTGCAGGAGCAACAGTGGCTCCTTCTTTTCTGCTTTCCTGTGAGCAACTGGCACGCTGGAGGTAGATGGAGGGGCCTTGAGGGAAGCCGAGGGGCCTCCACAGCAGGGAGCAGCTCCAGGGTGAAGCACACTTCATTTGATTTTTCTCCTATTTACTGTGTGTCCCCAGGCAAGTGACTTAGCCTCTCTGTTYGTGGAGGGTTCTATGCCGCAGTCTGGCTGGGCACAAAATGACGAGCCATTCACAGCCTTGTAGATTCAAACAGCAATTCTTTATTCCCGAACTCACACCAGCACTCTACACACGTTCTGGGGAAATTCACGTTCTGCCGCAAAATTCACATACTCCAC